GAGAGAGAGAGCGAGAGAATGAGTGTGTGCCTAGCTAGAAGAGAGGAGAGAGAGAGAGAGCGAGAGAGCGAGTGTGTGCCTAGCTAAAGAGAGAAGGAAGAGAGCGAGAGAGTGAGTGTGTGCCTAGCTAGAGAGAGAGGGGAGAGAGAGCGAGAGAGTGAGTGTGTGCTTAGCTAGAGAGAGAGGGAAGAGAGAGCGAGAGAGTGAGTGTGTGCCTAGCTANGAGAGAGAGAGAGAGCGAGAGAGAGATAATAGATATATATATATATATATATATAGGCGGCAAATGTCACACCTCGCCTCCCGCCGCTATATCAGTTGGCGCGTAATTGGTTTGGGTGTGCTTAGTTTCCGGCCACTCTCCTAAAGTACTCATAGAATGTTGTTTAGGACTTGTGTGGTTAGTAGAGTGAAGCTAGCACTGAACTGTGGCTTCTGTGGGCAAGAATTGGAGAAACAGCCTTACCTAGATATTGAAGTAAAAGCCCAATAAATGTAAATAACCCTAAAATAGGTGTAAATCATTACGTAGTTCATCTATGATGATACCCTCGTCTCATGACACCAACCCCCGTCAGACTATGCAACTTGACTGAGAGCTGCGACTTTATGCACCTGTCTATGAAGGGCTTCACCTACCTGTCTATGAAGGGCTTCACGCAGTGCTCGTACTCCACGTTCTCTATGCTAGCGAGCTCGCTCAGACTCAGCGTGTCGTCTCTATCCTCGTCCAGGTTGCCGAACATCCAGCCCGCCGACTTCCGGCACAGCCGCGGCCAGTACTCTATACCCGCACACAACACACACGTTAATCCTCTACATGCGTTAATCAATAGACACGATAATCGCTAATCCTTGTTAACACCTACATCGATTAACCCTTGATTAAACCCTAAACATCTTCGCCGCTGTTAACCCATTCACGTGTTACCCCGCTGCCCCTGTATGCATAAGCTATAACACCCAGTAGAAGGCACCACACATCAGTGTGACATACGTACCCTTGATGAAGGTCACGTTGCTTCCGGCGCGCTTCGCGTCGACCATGATGACGTGGAACCAGTCTAACATCCGATCTCCCATCATCCTCATCTCTACGTCCGTGCATTCTGCGAGGAGAGCAGACGATAATATTATAATTATTAAATATAAATTATATTTTTTATTTTATTATTTTTATTATTATTTATAATATTTTATTTTATATTTATATATTATATATATTATATATATTATTATAATTATGAAATATAATAAATATTAATATTATAATATAAGATTACAAGCACGTGACAGAAATTTCGTTCAGCGAATTAGAACGTGCTGCCCTCTGGTGTCCCCCACCTATACTTTTTAAAATTCAAAATTTCGTGACTCTGCTGAGGAATGATAATTAAGAGAGAAGCCCTTCATAGACAGGTAGGTGAAGCCCTTCATAGACAGGTAGATGAAGCCCTTCATAGTCAGGTGCGTGAAGCCCTTCATAGACAGGTGCATAAAGCCCTTCATAGACAGGTGCGTGAAACCCTTCATAGACAGGTGCATGAAGCCCTTCATAGACAGGTGTGTGAAGCCCTTCATAGACAGGTGGGGACTCTATCTATCTCTCTCGCTCTCCTCCCTCTCTCTCTAGCTAGGCACACACTCGCTCTTTTGCTTTCTCTCCCTCTCTCTCTAGCTAAGCACACACTCACTCTTTCGCTCTCTTCCCCTCTCTCTCTCTCTCTNCTATATATATATATATATATATCTTATCCTCTCTCTCGCTCTCTCTCTCTCTCGCTCGCTCTCCCTCTCTCTCTCTCTCTCTCCCTCTCTCTCTTTCTCTCGTTCTCTCTGCCTCTCTCGCTCTATTACACCCTCAGGATAATCGATGCGCTCTGGGAACGAATTGGCTTGAATTCCACTGTGCGCGCGCTCTCTTACTGTATACGCGCCCACCAACCAACGTGACTGCGGATTTATACCTTAGCGTATTGCCTTTTATTTACGCTTTCAGTTCGATACTTCTATCTCCCTCCCCCCCCCTCTCTCTCTCCTCGTGTTTGCACGTTCGCCTTTTCGTTTTGGCTTCGGTACACAAATGAAAGTGTGCTTTCGGTACAAAAGAAAGTGTGCTTTCGGTACAAAAGAAAGCGTGCTTTCGGTACAAAAGAAAGCGTGCTTTCCGTACAAAAGAAAGTGTGCTTTCGGTACAAAAGAAAGTGTGCGATTTGGACGAAAGATGGCACTGGCGTCGCTGCGGCGCGCGTCTGCGTCGTCTCTCATTTCACGCTAGGCGCAACAAGGCAATCGATGCTGCGGTCCCCGCTGCTATTCTCCGACTTTCGCAGACGACATCGGCGAACAGTAATACAAGCCATCGCCCAACGACCGACAGAGGTCATTAGAGTTCCACACGACGTCGCCTGGTGCCTACCCGCGCACCGCCATCTAACGGCGATGGCGACATACTATAAAAGATCGATGTCTGTAGACTGACGCCGGCGGCGCCGACGCCGCCGGCGATGCGACGTAACGGGAACGTGGGCGACCATCCGTGTTGGATCGATAATTATATTATATCGGTGCTACGCTGGGACAAGCAGCAGTGAGGGGGGGGGGGGCTTGCCCAAGGACAGGCGGTGGAGATTAGAGAGGCGTATAGGGTGGGGTGGCATAGACACACCCTCATGCACATTATAAAAACATACACACAAAGTGTAAGAGAAAGGGGTAGGAGAGGACGGAGAGGAAAGATCAGAGAGATGTAGGAGGGAGGGAACAGTAACCCTCATAAACACAATGAGGGAGAGAAAGAGTGGGTGGGGAAGAGAGAAGGAGAGAAATACGAGAGAGAGAGAGAGAGAGAGAGAGAGAGAGAGAGAGAGAGAGAGAGATATA